CAGCAGAGTGAGTTTGTGTTTAACATAAAGATTGGGAAATTGCCTCAGTCTGATAGAAAAATGAAGCCATAATATTGACTGATTCACATATATAAAAACATATAAAATGACTATTGACACATAAAACACTAATGCATATAAGGTAATTTCTGTTGCGTGGGACAATGGAAAATAAATTCATAGTTTCATGTGTGAAGTTGCATAACCCTTAGGATCTACCTCACCTGACCTCACAGGCTTTAAAGTTAGGTCAGATGAGTCCAGGTCTGAAGGACTGGTTTCATAACTGCAATCTGGTACTATATGTTGGTTTTTTTAAGCACAAGTTAGATAAATGTCTGTCAGGAGTTACTTAAGAATGATTGGCACTGTCTTGAGTTAGAGAGAAGGACCCTTCAGCTACATATTGGATGGGAAAATGGTCTGATGCTTGTGGTTTAGAGAGGAAAACCTGAAAGTAAACATGGCTAAAAAGACGTTAATTGTCCAGGCTGAGAAAACATAGATAAAAATGAGAATCAGGGGAAAAGAAGTTCGGCTTGATGATACTATTTATACTATTTATACTATTTCAGTGGTTGAAAAGATATTAAAGGTAATTGATACTTAAGATTTTTCACATGAGTGTAGATAATACTATTAGAAGAGGAAAAAAGGGAAAAACTATTTGAGGGTCATGCAGGGTCTACTTTAGACATGTCCTGCAGTGATCTCTCACTTTTTAGCTTTTATGAAGAATATCAAAGTAATATTTCATTGTGCAAAATCAACATCATAGATTGACCAGCAGAATTTATTCTGACTTTGGTTTTGTTGCATTTAATTCTTATATTGTTTTATTATCGTTCTCACAATATTGTTTTCAAAATAAAAAAAAAGGAAAATCTTACCTGGCATATAGAACTCCTGTTGTTACAATTTTCACAAGGAGTAGGTCAATACAAGAAACCATGAAGAGTAAAGCAGACTGCTGCACACTCAGCAGCAAGGTCATAGAAAATGTCAGGTACAACATCAGGTAAGTTTTAACTTTACCTTGGAAGCAGATTGTACTTTTAAGGGAAGACATACCAACTCCTAGAAATAGACTAGGATGCATATAAATGTGCTGGATAAAGATGCAGAGTAATTAAAATGGAAATTTAGACTTTCTGGTATGTTGTTTATTCCACCCAGGGGAAATGTTTTGGAGGAGCTGGTACACCATGTAGTCTTTGGAGCACCACTGGTATGGCACGCTGAGTGTAGTCATTCTGCTTTGACTTCTCCTGGAAGCTCCCAGTTTTCCTGGCTTTCATCTGTTTTAATTACAGAGGGTAGACTCCCCTGCTGGGTAACTCTGGACAGGAACCTAGCACCAATAGCCTCATTATTCTTCCAGAGGAGCCTGTTCTTTCTGCAGGTGATACAAGGAGCCTAAAAGAGAGGGTTAGTGCCTTCAGGAAATTTGGGTGATCTGAACAACTCCCCTTATTCAAAACGGATCAGTTTTGGCCCTATAAATTAGCACTTCTGGAGGACAGTGAATGCTTCTCAGTCTCTGCTTTTCTCCTTTTCACAGCCTGCAGTCTGCTCCACTCATTTAGTACAAACTCTTCCCGTCTTTCCACATGCCTTTATCACTGTACGTGCAAAAATCTTCTGTACAGCTTGTGCTTAATAGAACAGTCGTCTTATATCGCTCTACTTCACTGATTCTCCATCTGTTCTCCATCCAAACCAAAGCTGAAAATTTATCCTCTGCTTTGCATAAATTTCTTCAGCTCTTCTTCCAGTGCTTTTATTACTTTCAATTTTAACTCGACAGCCACACTGCGATAGACACCATATAAGACAGTTCTGCACTGCACCCCTGAATCATTACCTGAAAACAAATATTTCTTCATTCAATTATTTTCCATTTTTAAGAGCATGTATATGATTTAAACACTTATTTTAAAATATACATACATAATCATGTGCTTGTAAATGAGGGGGGCAGTACTATTCGTTAACATTATGCAACTTTAATTGATATATGCTATATTTTTCCTAAGCCTTCCTATAAAATTGTAACTGTCCAACAAGATGAACTGGGGTCCTCATTTGTTACCAGACTGATTGTGCTGGGTGAGGATAGCACCTTCAGGCAGATTAGCTCCTACTTAGATTCAATATCCCTTGAACCATACAGCAGGGGAAAACAATGTTACCAAAGTATAACAAATCCCAAAGTTCTTTAAGCATCACAGCTAAGTTTTTTAATTTTACAGACAGTTATTCCCTGAAACTAATTGTTTTGTCACGTAAATGTTTATTTGCTTCTTTTTATCTCCACCAAACCAAACTTTGATAGCTGTTAAAAGCAGCTCTTCACTCCTGATCTTCTCAACATTCAGACTGATTTATAGAAGAGTAATACATGAAAAATGGAAATGGCAATGTGATAGACTGACAATGAAATGTCTGGTGATAATTTTAAGATCTGAGTCATCTCTGATGCCTAGATACTCGCTGATCTCTGCTAGTTAAGATTTTCACCTTCTCAGAATCCCCCTTTTGGCTGTTGCAACAGCACTAAGGCATGAAGATGACAAAAGGTGGTATGTGAGTATTTCTCTAGCAACAAGAAAGTCTTTATGAATAATGTATATAATTAACTCAAAGAAACTGTACAGTACAACGAAAGTGTCTTGGTGTGTTATCAACTTGATAGGCCCAATCCCATTCTTCCTCAAGTTCATATGTCTAGAGTGCAGGACTGGTCCATTTAACATATTTTTTTGTGTTCCTTTAGCCTCATTTCAAGTGGACCAAACTATGGGACTATCACCCATAGAAGACAATATTTGTGAGAAAAAATCCCTTTTAGTTCTTCCTTAAATTGAGCCTAAGTATTCCTCTGAAATATATCCTCCCATCATTCTAGTTAATTATAATTAAGTTTTATTTTACTTAGCATAGCATAGCATACGTATTGTGAATACCAGATACTGTTGTGAGACACAAGGATGTTGTTCAATTGTATTTGCAGGATTAGAAACATCTGCTGCTTCAAAATGGGCTATGTCATTTAGTATCTGATAATGTCTTCCCTCACCATACTGAGTCTGTGCACCTCTGAGTTACTTATTTGATTTCAATGATTTGGGCTGATTTCAGTGAAGGAAAGCAGGACTTCACACAAATATTTAAAGCAGTAATAATACAAATACCTTTTTAAACACAATTTTTATGCAAAGTAGTGGGCAATCCAATTAACCAAATAACTGTAAAGTAATAGATGTGTTTAATAGTTAAAAGGTCAGATTTATTTTGTTTTGTTTTTACGAACTGGAATGTTCCTTGAGGCTGCTTAAAAAGATCTTTGCCAGCAAGGTAGTAGCCATACACCCAGCTACATTGCATACCTGTGGTTGTAGGCAATTTCAGATCATGATTCCTTTGTCTCTGGGAAGATATTTGCGTAAGAAGGACACGTTTATTTCAGTGCATGGAAACTGTCTCCTTATTTCAGGAACTGAAACTGTTCCTCATGAGATTTCTGGCTGCATCACTGCAATGGTACTAATGCCAAACTTACAAATGCATTCAGTGCTTTCAGACCATAGCCCCACCTTCTCCATCCAGCCTTGGTATGGGGTGAAGTGTTTCTAACTGGATTTTAGCATATCTGTGCCCTGTAAACAGGCTTGCCACATTTCACAGGCAGGGAAGAAAGATTCTCCAGAAGTATTAACAAAACCCAAAATGCACGGTATGAAAAAAAAGTCTTAATAGTAGCTTAAATAAGTCACTGCTCTTTTATGTCTCCCTGAGTGTAGCGGGTGAAGCAGGCATGCCTTTCCATGGGTTCTGTCCTGCTGGCCTCTCACACGGGGCTGCTCATTAATGCTTTACCCATCTCTCTGCATTTAGAGGAAGAGAAGTTAGGGAGTGCGTTCAGTTCTTCCCTTATGCCTGTTCCTGTCACCATAATCCTGATAGTTTAACTTCCATGAATCTGCCTGCTTCTCAGGTGTGCCTGTGTTACCTCTTGTCCCTGAGGGTGAGGTTTGTCCGACTAAATGCAGGTGTTTGTATTTAATCTAGTCACCCTAGCTTGCTTTTGCAGTCAGTGGAAAGCAATAGGCACTTATTTATGTACTTAATAGGGATGGTTCACCACGATCAGTTTTAGAAATCTGTGTTAGGGGATGAGTAACCTGCTGTAGAAGTGCTTTTCTTTTTTTGGCTGATCATACAGGAGTCTAGATGACAGGTTCAGTGTAGACACCTCCATTTAGCCAAATGAAATTTACGTTCGATGTCTTTGATCCTTAATTTACCTTGCAAGGTTTTTCCTTTCTCTTCTGTGTGCATGTGTAAATCTACGTGCTGTGTAAGACGCTGACAGGAGACAGTGATGCAGCCTTTTTAGTAATTGAACATTTTTGTATAAAAATTAAGCTTTTCTGAAAACATCGCAGGTTTCCATGGGATCCAACTGGAACAGCAAAAAGAGCCTGAAGCAGTTTTCTTTTTTTTTTTTTTTTTCCCTTTGCAGTTTGCCTTAATGAATATAAATGCTCTTTAGTTTTATTTCCTTCAGCTTTTGTGTGGACTGTACATCTGTATTTGCTAGATTTGTTGTTACTGCATGATTTTTGGGATAATATTGTTTCTCCAAGAACATCCTGACCACAATTCAAGTAGAAGCTAGTCTCTCTGCTCCAGTCCACTGGCTGCCATTAATAACAACAGCTGTGGTAAACTTCTCTCTAGGTCTGAGCCTTCAGAAGAAACCATGAGGGTCCAGCCAACCCTAGGATTTAGCTACAGTATAACCACGCCACAGATTTCACAGTTAAAATACATTGAAAGTAGTGAAGACAGCTTTCTAGTCACTCGGTTTCTGACACTGCAGAACATCTCTGTATTGTATCAGAAAAGAAGGTTATTAGTGTTCTTTGTTCAGAAATTATGTCACTCTGCTTTGTGGTCTCACTGAAAAGCTGTGACCTCCACCGACTTCTGAACTGTCAGTTTCCATCCCTTATGATTATCTCTTGTCTTGCTTTGAATATTAATGGCACAAAGCCATCCTTGTCTGCAGTGAGCACAATCCAAGAAGAGCCTACAAAAATTAAGCAAAAAAAAAACAAACAAAGAAAATGAGTGTACTGCTCTGGTTACGTAAAATGTACAAGCACGTTTTAAAAAGTCAGCCAGCACACGAGCAGAGGAGGCTTTCTTTTTGTGCTCTAAAGCCTGATTAGGCTAATGACATTAAGGTCTGACAATCCGTGCTGAACACACCTTTGTGTAAATGCAAAGTGGGGCCAAATGAAAGGTCTTGAAAGGTTTGAGGCATTTTGTCCCTTATTTAAATTAAATTGAAAAAGCAGGTGCATCTTTGCTCGTTCTGATAAACTATAAGTATCTCAATTTTCTGAAAACTCAAGCAGTCTTCCCATGCTGACTTTTGTTCTAGTGACATCTACTTCTGCTTATCCCTTTTGCTCATCTGCTCTACCCAAATGATGAAGAGATGATAAAATCTCAAAAAGTTGGCAAAGAAAATGTTTGTGCCATATTTGTTCTAGAAGGAAGTAGGGGTTTCCATCTCCTTTACTGTCCAGCCAAGACTGTTCAGTATGTTTTCAAATTCATGTAGCAAATAGAAGGAAGTTACACCTTGAAGATTACTTACAAAAGATGATTTACAAAGCTAATGTAATAAAATTTCTTGTCCTTTAATTATTTATTGTATCTTCTCATAAAGAGAATGAACAAAATCTGAATTATATATTATATATTAAAAAAATATTCTTAATACTTTTTTTCTGGAAAAAGAAAAGAGGCAAGATTGAAAAACAAAGACATCAAAGTCATTCAGGTTCACTTTCTTTGCACAGCAGCAGAAAGCAAACCTAGCCCTTCCCTTTGTTTTTTACTTTCCTTTGCAAGTCAGCTTGAAAATGAAACTATATGTACCATATTTTTTTTTTCCTAGTGATTCATCTGTTTCCTTTTGGACTGGATATTGCAGTTCTTATAGAAAGTAGTGAATTCTTTGTCTTTTTTTTTCAGTTTGACATTTAATGAAAGAGAAAAAAATCTGTGGCAACTGAAAAGCTTTGTGGGAGCCCTTGGATCACACGTCTTTCTTAGAGCATATGATCCTGTCATTACTGAGCAGGGGCATTAGCTGGGATATGAGTTAAAGAAAACCTTGATATGTTCTGTTGTTGAAATTTTGAATTTTGATAGATAAAACTGTGTTTTGAAAAGCAATGTGGAAAAAAGGAAGTGTAGAAAATCTAGAAGAACCATGCTTAGTTTTCGTCAGGCATAATAAAGCACGTTCCTGGACAAGGCAAATCTCCCCTCCTCATGCTATTACCAAAGCACTTTTCCAGGCTGCTACGCTATTGCACATTGTCCTGTCACCTGTTACATCATAAGAAGATTGTAATTCCAAACCATGAATCTTTAATCTTCTACTCTTAATACTTTCTTTCTAATTCTAGACAGACTTCAGATTCTGTAAGCAGTGGGTCTGACAGTGGAAATTCTTCTGTCTGAATCGATAGTTACATTGTTGGTCACATTGATAAAGCATACTCTTTTGTCAGACTCTTGGGAATTTCAAATTTCATCCATGGAAACGTTTGAAATTCTCTGTGTTGTTGATAACACTTGCTTGGAAGCATATCCCACAAAATATTTCAATGGTGGAAAAACCTTGTGCAGAATGTAGTGCCCTTTTCCTGTGCACAATTATTATGATGATGAACTGCTGAAAAGAGAGACATCTGTATGCTAATACCAGGGCACTATATGACAGGCTATATTTAGTACAGGTAATGGTATTACAGTCCTGGGCTTAAAGTGCAACCGATGAGGCCAAGCTCATATAACTCTGATGATCTTAATAGCCTTGCTGTGGGGATGAATTTGGCCTACAGTTGTGAACTTTTTTCCCCCAGTATATTCAAATTTAAGTGTTTGTTCATAGTAAAAAATGCCAAGCTGTCATTGTAGTACAAGCACGCTCTTCATTACAGGATGGGAGTGATATTTTTAAGCATCACATTATACAAGCACGCTCTTCATTACATCCCCTTTAATTATATAATAATAAAGGATGGGAGTGATATTTTTAAGCATCACATTTAATATTCATACCTGGTGGCAAAGGAGAGATTTAGGAATATAAACCTGTACTAGTCAGAACTGAATAAAGAGCTACTACTTCTTCCTACTTACAAAAACTACTTCCAAGAGTTACTTCTTGTAAATACTTCTGCCCCAAACCTGATAATTTTGCAGGATTTCAGTGAGTTTTAGAAAGATTCTTGTTTCTGTTGTTCTTTTTGCTGTCAACAAACAAATTCCATTTCAGAAAAGCCATGCACAACATTGAACAGAAAGAGGGACAGGTTAGGATGATTCTGAGACATTGTCTTTTTGATATCTCTGAAGTCGAATGTATGAAATTGAGGAGCAGTGCTTTGCTAATTAAATATTAAACATTAAACTGTTCTATAGAGCTGAAAATAAGTTTTCTCAGGCCCATTATTTATTATTTTCTTACTGAATTCTGAACCTCTTTTGTCATTATGGGCATTTGTTTCCAAAATCAAGAGCTGGAAGTACAGGCCAAAAATAGTATGGTCCTTGCCCTGCAAAGCTGCATTGTGTTACTGCAGAAGCCTGCTGGGAAATAGCTCAGGCCTCAACAGCAAGTGGAGTTTTTTCATATATACCTCCACTGCACGTATATACCTCACTGCATAGTGAGAGAGATAGCTGACAAAAGTATGAAACCTGCATCTTCAGCCTGGAGAAGAGAAGGCAACCTCCCAGAACCTGAAGGGGCTCCAGGAAGGCTGGGGAGGGACTTTTGACAAGGGCAGGGAGTGACAGAACAAGGGGAAATGGCTTTAAACTGGGAGAGGGGAAATTTAGATGAGATATTAGGATGAAATTCTTTCCTGTGAGGGTGGTGAGACACTGGAACAGGTTGCCCAGAGAAGCTGTAGTTCCCCCTCCCTGGAAGTGTTTAAGGCCAGGCTGGATGAGGCTTTGAGCAACCTGGTCTAGTGGAAGGTGTCCCTGCTGATGGCAGGGGGGTTGGAACTGGATGATCTTTAAGGTCCCTTCCAACCCAAACCATTCTGTGATTCTATGATAACTTCATCTTCTGGAACAACTTGCAGAAACTGCTCTAAGCCAGGGGAAAACTGAAACAGTCCAATGTGTCATGGATAAAGGCAGCTCCTCTGATCTGTGTTGTATTTGTAGCCTCATTCTTGTGGTCTCTTTGACAACAAAGAGATAAGCAGAACATGAATGGCAGAATGGTGCATATTTTACATCTCTTTATTCCCCCTGTCCTTGGTGCCAGCACCAGTAACATCCCAGGTCTGGTGTCTTTTTCATCCATAAGCCTATTATTTAGCAGCCTGGTATGTAACCATAATTATTTAGAAAACTACAGCTTATATTATTACTTTCCTTTTCTTTTTTTTATTTCACCAACAGTTGAATTCATTTCTCATAAGACAGAGTATGCCAATTAAGCCAATGTGTCCCTGCCTGTCAGGGGCTAAGACAGGGGACAAGACAGGGACTAATTTATGGATCTCTCAGTGTGAAAATCATGCAAGGAGATCATAATTACAGACAACTATTGTAAAGCCTAAGTTCATAGTATCCTTAGACTGTGATGAGAAGCATTTCAGACAACTGGCTAAAAAATAAATGTTGCTGAGAAGGTAGTGTACATGAACAGACAGGGACAAGGTAATTCAGAGACCAGTCCGGGACTGGGATTTCCCTAGCTGCTTCTGTCCTTACAAGTTAATCAGTGGTGGACGAGACTGGCAAACAAGAACAATGAGCTTCTTTGTTTATCTTACACTAAAACAATCCCAAATGCTACATGATACACACCTATATATCATATTCTGAGAATGAATTCTTCTCCAGCCTAGTCTATTGTCAGGTCTGGGTCATGCTTGTAAAGATGGGCAAAGCAAAATTCCAGAAGGTCTCAAGGAAGGGAACATTTCTTTTTCTGAGTAACACAGTTACTGATTATTTTCTCAGCTTCCCTCTGTAAAGTCATCTAACATGACTCTGGTACTAGGTAGTTCTGCAGTTGTTTAGCATTTAAGTGACTTCAAGAGACACTCTGCCATATTTCAGACAAAATTACAAAAAACCCCTAGCTATCTCAGTTTACTAGAGTATGGGGTAATTATTCTACCATAAATGCCTCTTACACTAAAAATCTCAGGTGAAGCCAGAGAGCAAAAATGAAAAGAACATACCGTGTTTCATTTCAATAACAGGCAGATCAAACAGCTGCTGGACCAAATTCAGATGGATCTTGCCATCACAGAGGAGAACATCTTTTGTTTCTTCAGTAACTGCTCCATTTGAAAAACTTTTCTTCAAATGCATGCATGTAAAAGAAAAGATCTTGTTAAAGGCTTAGACATTGCACCTGAGTCCTTTTAACCATTCCTCTGCTCTTACTCTTTCAATTCTTTAGTCATTTTGCTTTTTCTTTGTCTGTCTTTGGTACAATTTATAGATGACACCATCATGCAGCGCAGTTCTAAGCACAATCTCATAATCCCATGTGAAGGGGAAGATGCCTCTTTGCTTTTTGCTTTGTGTGCTTATGCAGCTCAAAACTGCATCATCCCTTTCTGCCTGAAGAGTCAATTGAGTGGAAGGGAATATATCATTCCTGGAATAAAGTTGTTCAAAGTGCTACCAGAGCAAATGAGAACTCTGCTCAGTTTCAGTGGTGTGCATGGGTGGTTTTGGTGGTCATTGGTCGGCTGTTCCACCTCAGTAAAATAACCCTAGTTCTGGCAGAGAGAGAATTGCAGAGAGATTGGACATAGCGACAATCTCTCTGAAAAGCTGTTGCTATGTTATTTGGCCCACAGTAGCTTGGGAATCTTGTGACTTTCTTTGAGAGGGAGGGAATGTATAGATTCATAGCCCTGGAATTTTCTCTGACATTCACTAAAAGAACACACTTGAATATGAAGGTGGCATATCCGTGCTTCATGAAGTCTGGCCTTGAGAATCAACACCTTTGTGTTCCGTCATTCCGATTACTGCACAGTGCAAGGACCACAAAATAGTTGAGCTAAGATGGTTATGGAGTGGATATATATTTGCATTTACATTTTCCTATCTGCTTTAATTTTTGCAGTAAAAATTATCCAGTGACTCAATTCCATTATAAAATATATGTGAATAGAACATTTTCTTATAAATAATCTTGCTGTACTTCCATCACTCCATACTTTCCACCTGTGTAGTTCCCATGTTATTTTTTTTTCCCTTTGTCATCCCTTATGTTTGCAATACCCCCAGATTTAACATATTTGTTATCTGAATGAACAGTCTGTTTATCCCATTTCCTAGAACTTTCTGTTTTGTACATTCAGAAGGTTTTAGAACAGGTTGAAAAGCTGTCATCTAGCCTAACTCCTGTTCTAGTCCTACCCCGTCTGTGTCTGCTTCATACCCTTGAATCTTCCTTGCTAATATAAAACTTACAGTTGAATGAATTCACAACTGCATCTTCTATTTCTGTGTCTAGTAATCTAACCTTTGACTAAATAAATGTCTTTTTTAATGCTTGTCTTCGTTTCTGATTGTGCTGCCTTTTGACTCAGTCACTCTCTCATGTGCTTTTTTTGCTGTGTAATAACCTTTCTAAATCACACTTTCATTTTTTCTGTACATAATATGTATGCTGTCATGCAACCACATTGGATTCTGTAAATCAGAACATCTACCAACTGTTGCAAAACTATTTTTACCCCACTCTATCATAAATTAGCCATGCAGGTAGTATATGGCTGATTGTTATTTATTTATGTATTAAGATTGATTGAAGATATAAGAACTGTAAATATATCTTTCCATTAAAAACATAAACTTTCCAGCTCCCAAAGTCTTCTCATCTCTTCCACATTCAAAACAGCCAAAAATTTGTTGCTGTGTAATTAATAGGGCAATACCTCAGGAATGCATCCAAAAAGTATCATTTTCTCAGTCATAAACCTAGAGTAACTTTTTATTACAGCCATAACTATGTAACATAACTTCTTTGTCATTTTTAGGTCTCTTCAAATTATATAGTACTATGTTCTATTGAACCTAAATACACTTTAAACTCAGTGAATGTTCAGCAGTGAGCGTGTGTTTTGCTTTTACATTGCAAAGATGCTATTTGCCTGTTAAGGTATTTGTGCAAAGCTTTTCATTGCTGCATCTTGTGGATTAGCACATCTAACAAGTACTTCATTTTCCTGAAATCAGGTTGAAATAGCAGAGCTTATTCAAACTTGTACTTCAGTTAATGAATTATAGAAAAAGGTGGACTGTTAATGAGAGAGGCACATTGCCTCGACCCGAGTGGTTCATTTTTTCTCGTAGATACTCAAGAATAATCAGAAAACAATCTGGCTCCACCTCTGTTGACTTGATATCAGGTGAATGGAAGTGTATACTAAGGATGACTCCATTCTACTATGTTTCTTACTTAGCCTTGCAAGTTATCTTTGGAACAGCCATTAGAAAGTAGATGACATTTTTGTATATACAAAGCTACATGGCATCTATTTTTTATCCTAACCAGTTTGTAAGTACAGAACTCAAAGCTTAAGTTACAGACATGTTTGTCTTTCATCGCTTGTGACCATTTATATTAGCTATTCTCTCTGTGTTTGTCATATGTTTCTGTTTATAATGATAAACTTAGTCATCCTTACATTTATTTTTGTGTGCTGGCAGGTCAAGAATCTTCCTCTGTTTTAATCTTCTGATTATTTAGCCTTTTTTGTTTAATGTTTAGTTTAAGTGATGATAACATCTCTTCTTTTTAAAAGGAGTATGTTCACACACATCATATCATAGATTAACTGATTTAAACCCATGCCTTCTTGAGAGGTGAGTAACTGTTAGTATTCCCTTTTTATAGATGATCAAACCATTACACAGGAAGATTAAGAGATTTACTCAAGGTCATAGAAGTTAATTTATCACAGAATAAGAAGTACCACTAAAATTTAACCTTAGTATTCCCATTTTCATGCCATAACCCAAAGACAATTTCTATTCAAATCTAAATTTAATCCACTTCTTCCCAAAATACCTATCTGGTTTTGCTCTGTTGCTATTTATCTCCAATAGAAGACAGAGGACTTGCAGTTCTCAGATTAAAATCCCTTAATGTTAGTTGTTTTATCCTAAACCAAATTTATTTTGTAGACTAAGAAAATATTAATCACAGAAGAAACAAATATATTTCCACAAACGTGAGTGGATATTTTCAGATCAAGTTTCTTTAGCCAACTTCCTGTAGTATGTCAAGTCCAACTCTCCCTCAAAAAAAAAAAAAAGAAAAGAAAAGAAAAAAATCCAACAGCAAGAAAACATCAATTCAAGATTTGTTTTCCTTCCTCTGTGTCAGCCTGCCCCATGATCGGGTTTTATAGCCTATAAAGGGTCTTCTGGGCAGCAGCCAGCCCATCACAGCCTTGCCAAACTGTCTTTCAAAACTCATGTTTTGGAATGCAAATATATACGAGAAGAAAATCATTTACTAAGGCAAAAAAAGGTTCCTGGATTAGATGTTATACACCATATGTCTGCACAATAAATAAATATGTCTTTCATCGCTTTTTTGAGCAGTCAGCTAGTTCTGCCTCTTGACCTTTTTCACTGTTTATTTTGGTTTTTTAATGCACTGCCTGCACTTGCCTGGATGCTAAGATCATCTTCATGAACTTAAATTCAGTGACTGATGAAACAGTGAGGTAAATAATATGCTACCAATCAGAATTGTTTTTACTGCCACTGGGTTAGTGATCGATTGCAGTTTGAATGTGTCTTTCTTGCACTTGGATGTCTAGAAATGTAAAATGTTTTCCAGATGAGGCCTCATGGCTGTGTTGCCCAGTATTGCATTACTTACTGGGGGTGCCTCACTGATGTACCCACAGACTGCCTGTGTTCTTGTCAGAAACTTATCACATCTTTGATTCAGTCACATATGCAAGCTTTTGTCATCCTTGGCTGTTTCCAGCTAATGAATATCCAGTTTATATCAGAAATTCCTTCTATTAATCCTGGAATATATAACTATGCACTTCATATTAGTTCATTAATCCATTTTTTTAATTCTAGATGCTAAGGTCATCAAATTACAGGTGCAATATCCTGATCCTCTATTGAAAATACTACTGACTTTATGTCATATGCAGATTTTATTAGCATATCTCATCAGATCATTAATGAAACTTTTAGATTAGCCTGAAGATCAATTATGAGAAAATCCACTAGCAAATTTCTTCCATTTTCTTTTATATTACTATAACCATTTACTATCTTCCTTCCAGCTAATTCCTTAACCATCTTATATTTCTTCTCTTAATCCCTTTTCTCTACTGTTCAACAAATAATTTCCCCTGTGGCACGATTTCAAGTACTGTACTGAATTACAGGTATTTTAAATATTCTTCATATCCTTTGTGTTAATAGTCTGTTCTTTTATAAAGGAAAGGTATCAAGTTAGTCAGTCACATCCCAGCACTGTTGAATGAATGGTGCTGTAGTTGCCTAGAACTCTTTTTCCACTTTCTTAAACCTTTGATTTCAGCTCTTTGTGTTGTGCTTCAGTGGTAATTTCAGTTTTGATACCTTAGTACCCATTAGCCAACTTGCTTTTGCCTTGCCCCTGCAAGATGTAGGATGAGAACAAACTAGTAAATTAAATAGATGTGGGGGTTCTGGCCCAGAAGACAATGAAAAGAGAGTTAGATGGCTAAGGAAGAGCACTGAAGAGGAAGGAGAACCATGATTTTTGACATTCAAAGTACCGTGTCTCATTAAGCCTTGTGCAGCATTGCCACAGGTAGTATTAATTAGATTTGGCAGGCTACACTGCTCCCCTTTCCTGTCATGATTTCTACTGTTTTCATGCTTCTATTGTCATGATTAAAGCAGTGCTGTGATTCCTGTTTGATTTTTGGTGGATCTTGATTTTATTTTGGTGGAGATCTTAATATCTTTGCTTGCCCTTACGTGGGACATTCCAACTGCAACTCTAATTATTAACCTGTCAGAGAAGCATAAGCCTGTAAAGTGTTTACTGTGGAAGAGATCTGAGGTGCTCAGGGGTGCTTAAATCCCTCTACAGTTTGCATTTATAGTGCATATTAGTATTTCAGATGATATGATGCTACTCTTTGCTCCCTGTTAATATTTCTGCAACTACTGTTTCAGGTATATTGTCATCTAAGATATACCCTTTGTCCTCATGCTTGTGCTTCCAGGATCTTTATGTTTGGAGTGTGGGTATTTTTAAACACAGATCTTTACTTCCTTTGCAGAGTACAAAAGCATGGATTCATTTTTGACATTACATATTCCTTTTCCTTCGCATCTGTGTATCCAACAAACAAATCATCAGGTCTAATAAAATGTATTGTGTCTCCTCTACAAACCCTGCTTGTCTGCTATTGATCAGTTTCAGAACATTGTTGTCAGAATTTGTTCTTAACAAATTCTTCAACCTTTGCTCAAAATGTTATCCATGCATTAATCACACCTTCTCTTGACTACTGCAGGTCTTTCTTTTACGGTCATCCTAAATCTCTTTCTTTTAAACTTCAGGATGGCTGACTAGTTTCTTACTCTGGGGAGCAGTCATATCACCTTCCTCTTCCATCATTTTCATGACTTTCTTTCTATTGCTCAACCCGAGTCAAAATTGCCCTTTGGTTTTCAGAAAGGTTCATGGTCTTATTACAGCTGATCATTGCAGCCTGGTCTTTGCTCATTTTTACTGTGCCACCATTACACCCTCCTTCTTTATCTCTACTTCATGTTTTTCTATCAGAAAAACTTTATTGCTGTATGTTTGGATCCGTTCTATTCATCTCCCAGCTCTGTGTAAAAAAAATGTTTCTATTATAGCTGACCTTGGCAATAAAGTTTCCTACAGTAAATTGTATGAAGATGCTATAAAAGTACAAATTGACTTGTATACAGTTATTGGTGAGTGCTAAGAAAAGGAAATCATGGTGACTAATTGCTGAAAATATATTTATTTCCTGTTTACTTATGCACTATATGCTCTCAGTGATACAGACCACTTGTGAGCAAAATCTAGGAGTTTGAGGATATTCTTCAGACTGAGATGAATTTTACTCCTCCTGGAGAGGTTTGCCTAAATGCCATTAATTTCAGATCCAGATTGTCTTTATTTCCACTGTAATTAGCTTTTGAATGAAGCTAGCTTAAATATTCTGCAGCTGTTTCTTTTCTGGGGAAAAAAGGATGATAAAAGTATCTTGTAAAATGAAACAGAAACCAATCTGTGACAGATCCTCATCCCTTCTTTTTTGTTTCTTTTTAAATAATAGCCTCTTCTTGCGTCTATCTGTCTGCCCTCCCATGCTATCCTGAATCAAAAGACTGTATGTGATGAAAGAGCAATAATATTTGCTTTTCAGGGTTGAATGATCAAGTCACCTCTGGTGGCTGAATGCTATTAGACAAGTGATAGTGCGGTGACATTTCCAAAGTGTGAGTGATCATGTTTTGTTTTTATGGCTATGGGCTACAAAGAATATAAATTCTGGGAGTACTACCTGGACGTGACTTCAGAGGTGTGACAGGTAGGTCAGCACTAACAGAATAAACAAAGGTTTTAAAACTATTTAGTGAGCAGACATTATGAATTATTAAGTAATACACATACTGTTTTATGTTATGGTTTTCTAAGCAGAACTGGAAACACACACAAGTATGTCAATAATGCTTCTGCACAACAATGTTTGTAATTGCCCATTAATTATTGCTACATTTTTTTCTGTTAGGTTTTAAACTTTCCTTTTATGTTTTTAATGCATAAATATGGCAGTACTGATCATTATATTTTATAGTACAATAGATTTCTCAATCAAGATTGAGCCTCTGCCGTGCTGGGGATTATACAAACACTTAAGAAGACATGCACTTGGCAGAAAAAGCTGAAAGATAATGGCCATATTATTGACTGGACTGCAGTGTTCCTAAAGCTTAGAATGTTTTCCACAGGCTGATATTTATATCATAAGGCAATAAAGCTATTTCCTGACTTTTTGCACTGTGAACACAGAGCCTGGCTGGAACCCACAGCCCAGCTGGTCTCTGAGCTCACAGAGCACTAATCAACTCCTGAAGGAGGAACAAGGTTTAGATGTCTGAATCCAAACTAATCAAAACAACTATTTTCTGAGAAAATTATTAGCTGCCTATGAAGCAAATATTTCCCTGTCTGTCTGGAGGCCTTATTGCCATCAGTCTATTTTTCATTATTTTTTGGCATCATGCTGTGATCCTGTTAGATTTCAGAAGAGAGGCTGAACTATGCAAGGCATTAGCTGTGACTTACACAGAAAAGCTCTATGTGTCGGAAAGACGTTAAGTGGCACTTTTTCTCAGTCATTATAATGCGATACTAGCAGTGCTTTCTGCTGGTTCCATGAGAAACTAACCTGTTCAGATTATAAGAGTCTTCCTTTCTAAATGTAGTTAGTCTAGCAATATTTTATAAGCACTGTTTTTTTTGTTTTGCTTCCAAAGGAAAAAAAAAACCAAGATAATTAATTCTTACTGCTTGTGCAAGCAAACGCGCACAGTGACTTCAGATCTTAGATTAATGTTACGTGTCACAAACACAGCTTCTCTTTAGAAAGGTTAATCCAATCGAATCCAAGAGATAGGGCTGCTTGCTAAATAAATAAGTTGATTTATGTTAAGAAATCAGACTTAATTTGAACATGCTGGAGAACAGAAGGGCTTGCTTCTTGGCAAATAAAATCCTAAATTATTTAAAATAGACATTGCTTTTTTCATCTGAATCTGTATAATGTATTCAAGTTAAATAATCAATGAATTCAGATCAAAAGCTTTGCTTTTATCCAGAGTAACTAACATGCTAGAATCTGCATAAATGCCAAGTAAACAGTTGCTAAAGCTAATGAATGTGTTTGAATTGAGTCACCATTCCCTTAATGAGTGTTTGAGGAGGGGTGCTTAGATGTCTGTATGGATTCCTTTAAAACAAAAGGAAGTAAAACCTGTCTGAGAAGCTCATATTTCAGCATCATCACAATGTAATGTATTATTTTTAACATAATGCTGCTTATGTCGCAGCAGATAAGTGCGTTTATAACTGACATCTACATCCTGAAAGGGACCCCAGTTTTAGCAGTAATACCGCTAGCATCAGCATGGCCAAAAATATTATCAGTACAATGTTAGTATTACTGCAAATAATACTAAGAATAATGGCCAGAAATTATTACCCAGCCTACATTCCTTTGTTGAAATTCTTATTGAAGCCAGTAGGAATCTTGCCAAAATGAGAGTGGGATAGGAACATGATGATTTGACATTTGTCTATTTATTTAATGAAATTATGATTAGATATTGAAAGGGGTTTTGTTTTGATTTGGTTTGGTTTGGTTTTTGGTTGTTTGGGGTTTTTCTCAGAAAATCTGAAGTGATAGTATGTTTTACAAATTGAGTATGTCCAGCTCTGTGAAGATTAATGGTGAGAAATTAAAGCAGAAAAATGCCAACTTCATGTCGTGCCCACCTGAATTTTCTATAAATTGAGGTTCAATACTTTGTTTCAGCCTTCATGAGAATCTAGCTATCTTCAAACTCTGGATTTGAGCTTTGAATTTATTATATTTCTGGTGAGCTACTGTACCACCCCACTCATAGGCTCATCTAACATAGTTTAGTACACTAAACTAACCTATAAAACTTTTTTACACTAACAACTGTTTGGCTCTGTTCTTTCTCTGTGATGGATGCACACAAAATCTGCTGGTATCCAAGACAGCTGTGCATAATCAAAGAAGAGCAAACAGACATAAATCTCCCATGTGAAGTATCCTCTAAGTTACCCACATCATCCTGAGTTATTGTTTCAATGGCAAATTATAATACAATTTTAGATTAAGCTTGATGCCAAACTCAGGTTACATTTCTCATGGGTTGATAAGAATTAAACTGCATCTGCTTGATTTAAAGCTAAATAAATACAAGATTGTTTAAAAATTCAGTGTCCTATCACAAATAAAGTTGACAAAAAAGTTACCTGGTAAGTGATATGAACGACAGGTGGTTCCTGTGAACATGGATAGGCTAAAGATGTCCTCCTCCCGTTTTTAGCAGAGTTCGTTATTTCAGAAAGACTCAGTTGTAACTCATTGAAGCTGCCACAAAGTCTCTCTAAATTTCTAGAGATGTGATTCATTCCTCTTTCGCTTGGCAAATTGTTGGTTTTGGGAGAACTTGATGTTTCTTCGTTCACCTTGAACTGCACTTTTGGGGAAGCTGGTCTGCTGGAAAGCCTGGTAAGTGTTCCAAAACCAAGAAAAGACACTGCACGATTGGTAGGTTCAGCATCCAATGTTTCCAGGGCCACCGAGGGGTCACCTGGGAACCTTTTTTCATCCAGGTCACTCACACTTGATGAAGAGCTCTGCTCATAACTAGGGCTCTTTACTTCGACGAGTCTTCTCCTGCCCGTAGGAGACTGAATAACTCTGCTTCTTGGTATTAACAGCTCCCTGCTTTGAGGTTGGTCTTCTGTGGCAAGATTTTCAAAGAACTTTCTTTTTCCAGGAATATTCACCGAGGATTCAAAGTTACAAAACATATTCTGCTTAGTCTCAGGCAATGCTGAAGAATCTTCTTCCAGCATCAGCTCTTTGACCATCAGACGGATTACATACCTGTCTGAGCTTGAAGATGGAATGAGATTGGGCTCAGGGAACTTTTGCTTCCCAATCAGAATCAATAGGAGTTTATCTGACAAAAAACATAGACCCTTTGGTCTTTCATTTTTTTCCAGCTGGATTTGTTGAATATGAGGCATGCAAGAAGAGGTTACTGAATACACCAAAACAACGTTAGAAGTATTAGAGGCTACTGCCACAATCTGAGCTCTAAGATCAAAAGCCATTATATCAGGAACCAGAATACCTGGGATGGTGACTTTTCTGGTGGTGGTTACCTTCCTCTCAAAAGTCACCAAGATTAAGTGAGAAGAATCTTGACCATTTGTTGCTGCAGAGTCTTTGCGTTTCAGAGCAATAAGAGGTCCAGGATCAGACCGACGGTGGTTTGCAAGGATATGGGTTAAATCCATGGGACCTGATGAAGAAGAAGCAACTGATTCAACACCTGATCTATCTGAATCTATGGACTTTCTTCGCAGGTCCATGGAGTATTCCTCATCACCAAGCACCAGAGGAGACTGTGAGATTAAACAACCAGTTTCTGTACCAGATGGCATGCCAAATGCAATGCCCGCATTCAAACCACAGATACTATCTAAAGGAAGCTCAGTAGCTACAGCAATTTGGAAATTCAGTGTGGCTTCTATAGCACAGATATAAGCTCCCACATCAAAGACTGGGCAAAAGGAGCAGGTAGTTAGAGTTTTCTGAGCATCATCCCATATGTAGGAATGCAGGGCACTACCTATAGCAACTACTAACCGATTACCATCCTTAGTCCAGCAAGCACAGTGGATAAGCCCACTGCTTTTGATATCCGCCTTAACTCTAGTGTTGTCAGTACGAACAGCATGCAAGACTGACGCATCTCTTTTCGTAAGCACAGCCAAGACCTCCTTCTTTGGATGCCAGACACAGCCATGGGAAAGCAGTGGAAATGGCTCACCAACTTCACAAGTCTGAGAAATCAAGGGTTTGTTCTTCTCTGCAGTGCTGTAGCCCAGCTGCCAAACGCTAACATGCTTTTTATGCTGAACAGCGAGCAGAGCTGGGGTGTCTGTAGAGCAACATGGGCCCCAGTAAAGCCCATGAACATGTTCAAATTGACCAACAACACTTGAGTCTCCAAACTTTAGCTGTCCATTATGATAGTATAAAGCAGTCAGTATCACTTGCTTCCCATCTGTCCAAGCAATTCCATGCAAGGGGTGGATGGCCTGAGATAAAGCATTGAGGCCAGTTCTCAGCAGTTTTGCCTTTCCCAGCTCCATCTTCTAAAGCTTTCTGTCTACTGGTCGTTGTTCCAAAGTAGAGAATCCATGGAATTCACTTGCAGATCACGATGAGAATTTTTTTTTTCTTGTGTCTCCTTCTCTTCCTTTCCAGAATAAGACTGGTTTTTCTGCTAACAATCCAAGAGCCTGTATTGTGAACTCCTTCCCAGTAAGCCTGCAGCTGCTCTTCTAAGTATAAATCCATGCCAAAGCTGCTTTTGCTATGTCTTTTCCTGGGAGGAGTTATCATCTTCATGTGATGGCTAACAAGGTTTAACCAATTACTCTACGTTTTCGTAGAAGTCTATTTTTAACTTTTCACTGCTGGGAGTATATTTAAAAATAACACTCTAATACCTTGACCTTCAGTGAGTGAAGGTCTTTGGTGAAGGCTGGAGAGAGATCGTACACTGTTAAGCCTAAGTATTAAGCTACAGCCTGAAATAATGACCTGGCACTTCTTTCAACCAACCTTTGAAGGATTAAAGAAGACTTAAGCATACCTGAGAACTGTACAAGGCAGATTGCAATCTCTGATGGGCAGCATCTTTCAAAGATACAACATCTTAAGTGGCTATGAAAGGAAAGGAGGAAAGGGAAATCATGCTCTGTTCTGTCAGTAGTGACAAGAGGAGGAAGGAGGGCAGGATTAAAAAAAAAGCAAAACCATCTAGGAGCAAAACCAGCTGATTAGTGTTCATTTTACTGGGTCAGATTTCCTAGCTACAGATATATATTGATTTCTACTGATATATATTGCCCCTGTACTGGGCACTGGTGAAGCTGCCCCTCAAGTGCTGGCTTCAGTTTTGGGCTCCTCACTACAAGAAAGACATGGAGGTGCTGGAGCGTGTCCAGAGAAGGGCAATGGAGCTGGGGAAGGGTCTAGAGAACAAGTCTTATGAGGAGTGGCTGAGGGAACTGGGGTTGTTTAGTCTGGAGAAAAGGAGGCTGAGGGGAGACCTTCTCACTCTGTACAACCTCTGAAAGGAGGTGGGTGTTGGTCTTTTTTCCCAAGTAACAAGTGACAGGACAAGAGGAAACAGCCTCAAGTTGCACCAGGGGAGGTTTAGATTGGATATTAGGAAAAATTTCTTCACTTCGAAAGGGCTGTCAAGCATTGGAACAGGCTGCCCAGGGAAATGGTGGAGTCACCATCCTTGGACATATTTAAAAGACGTGTAGATGAGGTGCTCAGGGACATGGTTTAGTGATGGACTTGGCAGTGTTAGGTTTTTGGTTGGTCTCAATGATATTAAAGGTCTTTTCCAACCAAAATGATTCTATGATACTTTCTTGATCTTCCAGCCACCTATATCTGAGGACTGTTCCCTCATCCTATAGCCAAAATACAAAGAGGAAACCAAAGTTTTCCTGTTTCCCCACACTCTGCAGTTTCTGCAATATGGAACATAACATCTTTGAGTTGACAAAAACCCAACCAATAAACTCATGTAACACAGTGGGCTGTGTGAGGATACACCAGTTTGGTTCAACTGCACTGTTTTAGGACCAGTGCTGGTTCAGATGGACTACCTTGGGTGTCTCCATTCTTCCCTCCTCAGCACATCCTTTTCTGGGGTTAGTTTGGACAGACCCTGCATATCACTGAACTTAAATTGTCAGGGTGGGATTCATTACTTAAATATGAGCAACCATTACTATTTTAAATTCCCTAGAATATCTGAGACAGCCACACTGTCACTTGCAGGAGAGTAGTGCCATTCTGGAGTAGCAGCTGGCAGCAAAGAGATGATCCCTAGATAGTCCCTAGACTCTCTAAGATGGAATTAGAAGCTTATATACAGGTAATAGAATCCTATCCTTAGCATCCTTTTGGAGTTCTTCTCCTTTCTGCTTTGATATAACTTGTGTCTCTTGCTGTTCACGTTTAAAAAAAAAAAAAAAAAAAAAAATGTTAATAAATTAGACCTGGGCAGAGGTTTACAAATTATCAGTATAATGACTATGATTAAAGATGTAAGACTTAACTATACACATTCTGCATCTTTGGCTGATTTATACTTCATATATAATTTGTCCAGTGCTACCTGGCAACAACAGCCCTCTTGTTGAAGGCCGTTAGTTGGACCTTTGTTGTAAGAATCTTTTTAGTATCCTTTTCCCAGGTGTATTTACTGGGGATGTTGAATAGTACTAAAGAACTCCCAGATTTGTATGAAGTCTCATATTGTCATTTACAGCTACTTGTTTTTTGATGAAGATTACATTCAAAATCAAGGGGTTTTTTTAAATATTCATCAAGGACAAGCCATCAGTCTTGGAATAGATAAAAATTAAAAAGTTAAATGTGCAGGTTAGAAGATCTCTTCTTATGCAAGACTCCAAAATTTTTGGTTCCTGCCTTTGCTTGCAGTGAAACCATACTTTTTAATGATTTTACCTTACCCATTGCTGACACAGATGATGTCTGGGCCACGCTTAAGATGCCACACTGCCAGAGCTGTTTCACTAGGAGCTCTGACTACTCTCTACATCCTCTGAGTGGTTGCAGGATTATTGTGTCATATATTAGTGGTAGCTTTTTACTCATAGTAGTTACAATGAATAGATACATTCAAATACAATCTCAGCAGCTCCACAAACTTGCAGAGTTTGTATAAGATATTTTTGTTTTGCTTTAAGATAATGCCGCTTCGCTGCTTTGCTGTCTGCTGGGTGTATTTTATTGAACTGGATAAAGCTATTCTTTAGCTCAACCAACTCATCTAGATTCTGAATGGTGCTTTAAATATCGTAACAAAACTATGTTGCAGCTGGATTCTAGCAACCTCAAATCTGTTTTAGATGCAGAAACTTCTGCCTCAGTATGACTGAAATGCTCAGAAGTTTCACTAAGGATGATGTGTGTTCTGCCAGCTATGCAGACAGACGGAGATCATGGGCTACTCATGTGGAAGACTGGTCTTTCTTTGCTGCTTTTTTTTCATTGCATCATCTCTCATAGCATGCATCTGCTCTTCAGCAGTGTCTGTGACATTATCATGGGGCAATACAAGGCTGAATCAATGAGATTTGCCAGTAACAGAAGCACCCTCAATTCTGGAATTAAGGACGTCTCATGAACACTGAGATCTTGAAAAATATTTGTATCAGAGCCACAGTGAGGTTTTCATCTATCTCTGAAAGCATTAGGAAATAGGACTTAATCTGATTTACTTTTTTTTATTTCTAGTAATTCTCTAAAATACTCAGATATAAAAATAACAATATCCACAAAGTTCCACTGGCATGGTAGCGAGGTGGTGAGGCAGTGAGGTGTGATATATTCACAGCTTGCCACTGCTTTGGCCTTGCTTTTTTTTCCTCACACTCTAGCACCTTTATTTCACCACGATGACTCACCTCTTGTGTCCTATCACTTAACATCTTTACATTCCATGGCAGAGTTTTTCTAGAAAGTCTGAAGCCAATCAATAAAGGTGCTTAGCAGATAAGGAGTTACACAGTTCATTTAAATCAAAGGAGGTTCAGAGATCTCTGACTTCAAGGAATGTTTGTAATACAACTTCAGTGACTGTGAGATGAGGCCAACTGAGAAACCAGACACAAAACCTTTAACAAGTTTGCTGTAGCCTTTTAAAAAATCTCTAAAGCTCAGTGTTCCTTGAAATCTGCAGGGCTTGGACACACCACAATGCCTATTCTGTAGCAATTGAGTTTGAAACTCAGACTCCATTTGAGATAAAATTTGAGGATCTCAATTAAATTTCCTCTGGTTCATTCTGTGGTTTCTTTTTGATGTGAGAGAATAATGTAGGCAAGAAGCTTCTCTGAGAACAGAATCATCTAGTACCTCCATAAGCACCATATAGGATGAAACTAATTTGAGATAACATTACCTTTCAGAGTGTCTCTTTAAAAAACTATGTAAATAATGGAAGACTTGTAAAATATACAAAGGTAACAAAACATGAGTCATGCCATGATTACAGAATTTTAAGAAGTTATACTCAGGATCAAAGCAAATTCCAGATGCAGGCACAAGGTGAATGAAAGAGACTATGAACTTCCATTTGGCACAAACTAATTTTTTAAAAACAGGATAAAAATAGAGGGGAAAAAACAAGTTCCCCTTATTCAGGTAGCTTATTTTTCTGGGAAAAAAAATAAAAAATTCTGTGTCACCTTAGCACGCAGTGATCTATATAGCACACACTCAAAATAAAGGCTGGTAACTGAAAACTGTCCTGGCAATACTGCAGTTTTCCTCTGAGACCCAAGAGAGCAATGCAAAGAGTAATCTGTTAGTAATCTGAGACACTCCAGTGAGCGACCACAGTCTTTACACTGTACTGAGCTAGATTCTGATCCTATTAGCATCTCTGTGCCTCTGATTAACTTTGGTATAACTTAGATCAGAACGTCACCCATGGTTTAAACAGGGTGTCTCAGCTGGTGACACCTTGGCTGGCTCTGTCCTGCAGAGTGATTCCAGCCAGCCAGCCCCTGTTGCTTTGGAGGAGATGGTTGTTAGAAGTACCATACAATGTCCAAAACTGAACCCCACCCACTGAGCTGCACACAGCCATTGGTTAGTAGCCAGGAGTTCCCATGGTTCATAATGAAGGTTGGAAAATTAATCCAGCCCTCATCACTGCAGAGGTTGAACTACCCTTTTTTATAATACTAATTTTATATTGCTGTTTCCCCACATTGCTATACTTAGTATTCACCTGTCTGGGGAAATGGTGAATACATTTTATGTTCAATATGGATTAGAGCTAATGAGTTCCAGGTTCTTAAATATATTTACCTGTCTATTTCTTGTCCAGTGGGAAATTGATATCTAAATATCTCTATGGATCTGAGTTCAGTGTCTTGCTGGAAAAGCTGAGATTCAGGCTTCACTTTCTCCTTTATTCATGGTAAAATAACTCCTTCTGGGCTAAATCTTGCTTCAAGTTAATTAAATTGATGTTAATATTCCTGGTGACTTCAGAGGAAGACAGATCCAGCTCAATATGTAAAAAAAA